AAGCTGTAAAAACAGAGAGAATTTAACGGTCTACAAGAGGGAGACAAAAAAAACGTTGCACTTTGCATTCCCTCTCCGCTCAGCACGACGGTTCTTATACCGAAGATCAGAGAAACAAAAAAAAAAAAAAAAAAAAAGGACAAATTAAAGCACACGCCTTCTAGACAAGAGAGCTGAGGAGGAGAAAACAAGAATGGGAGAGGGAGGAGTATTGGATGGGATCGGGATTCAAAATCGTCGTTGCAACGTCATCCCCGTGTGAGAGACAGCAACAACACCAGCAGGACGCAGACAGAGAAGAGAAGAGAAGATTTTTTTTCCCTCAAGGAGAGGCGGGAGAGGAGAGACTGGGAAGGAAAAAGAGAGAGAGTGGGGAGTAGAAAGAGAGAGAGGGGGGAGTAGAGAGAGAGAGAGAGAGAGTAGGGGGAGTAGAGAGAGAGAGAGAGGCGTGTCAATGTTCTACCGTAACAGCACTCATTGTGTAAGCCGCCGATCACTTAACTACCCAATGAATCTAGGATGATAGAGAGAGAGGAAGAAAGGAGAGAGGAGGACGGGAGATGACATCAACAGCTTATCAATCAACCAACCAATCAAGCAAGCAAGCAATCAAGCAATCAATTAACCACTGAATCAATCAATTAACCAGTCAATCAGTCGATCAATCGGTTGATGATCATTGTTTGCGCTTTTTCACCGTTCGTTGAGGTTGCCGTTTCTGTTGCTGTCCGGATCCCGCGCCGCTGCTCCGCGTTCTAGACGGCGCGCGCGCGGCCGTCGCTGTTCCCCCCGTGCCCACCATCTCCCTCTCCCCCCGCGCTGGCGCCAAAGCCTCTTCCTCCCTGGCCGCCGAGAACGCGTGCCTCAGCGGCTGCGGCCACTGGAAACTGGGCAGGAAGCCTAGCGACCCCGACCCCGACGACGATCCCTTCGCCCCCCCGGCTCGCGATCCCGACCCCTTGTCCTTCCCCGCCCGCGTCTGCTTCGCGCCCCCTCCGCCCCCAAGAGCGGAAGGCCTCCTGTACGCGCGCACCTGCTGCAGCGTGAATGCAGGCTCCACATCCATTCCCAGCCACTGGCGGCGCGACGGCTCCCCAAGCCACGTGTTCGCCCCTCTCAGCGCCAGCGTGCACAAGATGACAAAACTCAAGTTGTTGAAGCTCTGCCCCATCCCCCGATCTATCCCGTTGATCAGTTGGTATCTCAGATTCGACGAGATCCCAAGGAACGCCCCATATCCCGTCGCACCCGTGGCTATGCTCGGCACCGGCACCGAAAGCTTCACCTCCTCCTCTCCTCCTCCTCCTCCTCCTCCTCCTCCTCCTGCCGCTGCTGCTCTTCTCCTTCTTCTTTTCAGTTCCACTAGTCCACTGCCAGCTGCAGAAGACACAGCACCCACCGCCATACCCACCGCACCCAACTCCACCATCTTCACAAAGAAGCTGGCCACTCTAGATCCTCTGCTGAACTCTCTCAAGGGGTAGCTCTTGTCGAAGACATGATTAGGAAGTTTCTGGAGAACGTTCTGCCAGTCATACCTGGCAAGGGTACCAAAGGATCTGCTAGGTGCCAAGGCCCAAACCACGGCCCCATTGCATACAATGGCCGCCATTATGTTCATCGCCGCTAAGTCCCATTCCTCTTTGATCTTGGCCCCACGGTGTTGGATTTCCCACAGCAGGTTCAGCACGATGGTCATCCCTTGCTCGAAAGCCAGCTTCTGCAAATAGCCTGGATCTGCCACCATGCGGCCAATTAAACCCCTGGAAACGCTTAAGGGGGTCATCCTGGAGACAGCTCGCGCTATGGTGGGCCTGGCGCTGAAAGACATGAACCTTGTGATTTGCACAGAGCTGGCCAGCCCCATCTCCACCGCTTGTCGAAGCCCTAACGGAAGATCTCTCATCGTCTTGAACCACTCCTGCAACACGGCGTTGATCGTGGCTTTATCGAATAACTCCGGAATGGCTGCTCTGCGGGAGAACACCCCCTTGTCATCACCATCGTCGCCATCATCGAAATCGTCGAAGTAATCGTCGTCGTCTCCGCCGTCGTCGCCGCCATCGCCGCCGCCGTTGAAGTTCTTCTTGCCAATGTCGCCGCCGCCTCCGCCATCTTCGGTCTGAGGCGTGGAGCGGATTTCCGGCTTAGAGAGGTCCAGCTTCGACCGCTCGAGCGTTGCGCCGGAGAACGAGCCGTAACCTCGCGCGCAGGTGGGGACCATCATCGCGCTGGGAAAGGCCGCCCCCACCTCGTCGCGATCCTCGATCACCCCTCCCCCTCCCCCTCCCCCTCCCATGGCCGCGCAGAGAGCCGCGGACGACGATGGCATCGCGCTGCTTCGGCGGGCAGCATAACTGCGGCCGCCGCCGCCGCCGCCACTGCAGGCGCACGAAGAGCTTCCGCGGCGTGCGCCGCTTCTCTCCGCCCCTCCGCGCTGCGCTAACCGCCACGATTGCGCACCTCCCGCCCCTCCGCCGTTCTTCTTCCCCTCTCTCCCCCCCGCTGCGCGATTGTACGAGATTGACGACGATGCCGAGGTCGGCCCTCTCCGCCGCTGCTTCCTGCAACAAGAGTGGTTCAGAGCGAAGAACGACGGCTCGCCGCCGCTGCCATTGCCGCCAGTACTGCCTGCCTTGCCTTGTTGTTGCACTTTGCAGCCCAGGCCGCCCAGGTACGCCGCCCACCGACGAGTCCTCCCCGCCGACCTCCCCCCTGCTTGCGCGGAGTGATGTAGGTAACTATTCGACGACTCCTCGCTCGTCGACGTGGCGCAGGGAGCCGCCACGCACGTGCTCGGGCTGCGCAAAGCCGAGCGGTAGGACAGCGCTTGCGCCGCCATTGCTGTTGCCGCCGCCGAGGACGCCATCGCGACCACTGGGCGAGCTAGCTTTCCGCTTCGCGCTACTTTTTTCCTCGATTGATGACCTCCAGCCCAGTTTGCACCAATCAATCAATCAATCAATCATTCAATCCCTTGGACTGCACCTACCCACGCCATGGGCGCCACAACTCGCTGCCACGCAGCGTTGTGCGCAACCGGCCGGGACCCGACCAGACACCCCTGGCGCATCGCACACCGCGCGCCTATCGGCGGAAAAGCCACCGCGATGGGGAACGCTACCCAATTGGGAATTTGGAAATTCGTAGCTAAGGTTGCGCCTCCGTGAGGCCAGAACGCGGCGCCAACTGCGCACCTGCTGCGACTGCGACCGCGACCGCGCTGCCTTTTCCGCCTGCCTGTTCACGCTAATGCCGCAGTGAGCTGCCGATATTTGCTCTGACCACGGAACGGATCAGCGGAGGTCCGCACCAAAAACCAAGCCGCCACCCCAAATTTGGATATGTTCTCCGCACCAGAGATCGATCGGGGAGGCCCGCGGGGCCGCAGAGTTGCGCTGACGCGGGCACGCCAGCGCCGAAGCAAACCCCCAAACCCTCGCCGGACCTGGGCTGCTCGCCCTGGTCCCGCCCCAAATGAAAGAAAGATGGCCTGGTCCCAAATGAAGAAATCCTGGCGGTTCTCTTACCACCGCTGGGATAGCGGCCTTGCAAGCGGGGTTTCATTAAAAAAAAAACAAAAAAAGAAGAAAAAAGAAAGAAAGATATAATATGGCGCTCCTGGTTGGCTAGTCGGATGGATGCTGATTTCTGCGGAACCGCCAGAAGCGCCTGCGTTTCGCTTTTCTGCGCGCAGCCTCCCTGCCTGAGAAGACACGTGGATCCTCGACCACTACGGTGTAGCGGTGATAGCGGTGATATAGCGGTGACGACCAGCCAGCTCCACCGTTCCGTGCTGCTCGCTTTCGCTTCCAGAGACGATGGATGACGCAAGCCAGCCCGACCGTAGCCCCTTTCTGCGCCTGGCTGCATGCACTTTTTAGGGGTCAACTTTCGGCCTCGGCCTCCACGACAGCTGGTCCCAAAGCCGAGTAAGGAAATGGACACTTGAGACCCCCTGATTTATCAGTTATCAGGGCTTACCAGGGATTGTCTACCGCGTGGGCGCGGGGAACGCAGCCCTAAGGTAGCCAAAGCAATGAGACTTCAGGGTGGGAGGGTGACGGTTCTCTCACCACCACCAGGAGAATGACACAACTCCGGGGGGGATCGGTAAGCTGCACTAGCGCTAGCGCCTCGACGCCGCCCGACCGGCAAGGCCCGGTCTGCCGGCTAGACTAGTGCCTGGGGGAGGGAGCTCCTTGGTCGCTAGGCCTGTGGGTGGGCCCGGCAGACGCGCATGGCGTCCTGATTGCCACGTGACAGCTGCTGTTGGTGATGTGGGTGTCCCGCGACGTTCGGACAGGGGCAGCGCCAGCTGGGAATTTGTTGAAAAAACGTGATTGCGGCACAGCGATAATAGCTTCTGACATCAGTAACGATGGCAGAGATGGACACGGAGACCATGCCTAATGGGGGGCTGTGGGAAACCCCTCCTGCCCTGCAGCCCGTGCAAGCAGATTCTGCACTGTTCATTGTGACCTTGTATAAACAGCAGCTGGAGGAGATGCACGCGTTGCTGAGTCAAGAGTATGGCAACCTGCCAGATGACATCTTGTTGGAGGGAGAGGGGATCTACGATGGGTGGGAGGAGGAACAGTATGAGCAGATCTCTCTTCGACAGTTGGATATGAATGACAGAGCACAAGCGATGACTGCCCTACACGACTGTGTTGGGATGCTGGCGCAGGTGGAAGACATGTTTGTCGGGCTTCTAGCAAGGAGAGATGTGGGTGGTCCATTAGGTGAGTTGCTCTCATCTGAAGGCCAGGATAGCGTGACATGGAAAGCACCAACAATATCAACAACATCAACAACATCAACAACATCAACAACATCAACAACATCAACAACATCAACTACAGCAACAACATCAACAACATCAACATCTACAATAGCGACATCACCAATGAGTCCACTCGGTGTCCAGCAACAGCGGCCCTTTGCTCAGGCGTGTGATGAATTGGGTGACGATCACATGGTGTCAGTATCGTTTGGCTGTCAGTCTCAGTCTGTTGTAGTGAATAATGGAGATTTGACGATCGTGGGAGCGGCGATCCGGGCGCTTGCTCCGGAAGTTTTGTTGACATTTGTTTCACAGTCTTACCAACAGCCCGCTGAAAATCAAAAAGCATTGTCATCATTGTTTACAACGGTGCTTCAGCGGAGGTAGGTGATGCGATTCCCCCGCTTGTTCTGGAAGTTTTTTTTACAATTGATTTGTCATCTACCTAGCAGTCTGATGTGGGCAATGATATCATGTGTGATGAATTACTGTATTATGACGATGACAGTTTTTTTTTTAATTTTGCAGGGGTATGCCATCCCCCCCCATAGGTTAATAATAATGAGTTGCAGCGTCGTACAATCATGGGGGTGGCTCGGGCAGTTGACCACGGGGGGGGTTGGATTGGATGGGCTTGGCATGTGTTTTGATTGTTTCACTCCTGCGTAAATATCACTTGTTGGCATCTCTTTTTGACCTAGGGTTTCCCCCTGCTCCCTCCCTGTTGCCAGTCCCGACTGTCATATTATGTGGTTGTCACTGGGTGGGGGGCACGATGGAGAGGAGCGAGAGGAAGGTTTGTCATTTGGGTGATGGATAGGGGGAGGAGATAGGATAATCAGTAAGGGATGGGCAGAACTCTGGTTGGCGAAATGGCAGGGGGAAGAGTATGCATAGCAGATGTGTGATAATAATAATAATAATAATGATATATGTCGCAGATGTTGCTAACCTCTGCCAGAAATTTGACAAAAACAATCTCGTGAGAATGATCTTCGTCGGGTGAATAGCTTAGGATAAGGGAGGGTAGGCAGACAACCTCCGCTGGTGGGAAATGAGAATCATGAAGTTGGGCAGCGGCCTTATGCACGGAGGGGGCCTAGGGTTTGCTTTGCACGGTTATGACTGTGAGGGATTAGGAAGATTGGAGGACAGTTTATCACCCTCCCCATGCCTAGATCTTCATACATGTTGTGACCTGGCTGATAATTGGGCGGGCAATGAATCTCCTTGCAAGAGGGCAATCAATGTTGTTCCACCAGGTATATTGTCTCCGATCTTGTCAGTGGGACGTTGGACCCGGTTTCGAGGAGGTGACGCTCCCCACCAACAGATTGGAGTCATCTATGAACTGAGGCTTGCTATTGGAGGATGCTTGTATCACCTTCAATAGCAGGTTGCCACAAATATTTCGGTTTAAAAAAAAAAAAAAAAAAAAAAAAAAAAAAAAAAAAAAAAAAA